ACTGAATTACCACAAATTCTATATGCATGGGAAAAGTTTTTGAAATGTACCAATATGTGTATCAAATTATCTTATAGAATGAGATATCTTGATCCAATGTTGTAAAACTGATTAGCCATAAATAGGACTCAGTTTAAAATCTCCATAGCAAATGCTAGTTAATCATTAATAAAAGCAAGCCATTTATACATATTTTATATAGATCCCTAATTTGTCATTGAGGAAACCTTTTCCCTAAAACCACTAAAATAAACAAAAAGTAAAAACTCCACCTTCTGTGAAAAAAGCAAACTGCTATAACCTTTGCTTTTTATTTTAAAATAGCACTTATATTTGTTTTAGGTGTGGTTGTTAATAACTGTGAGTTTGCTGTCCTTTCACTGTTCATCTTTTTTATCTTCTTTTTCTTAGAGAAGTCCCTTTAACATTTCATATAATAAGGGCTTGGTGATGATGAACTCCTTGAATTTGATCTTATCTGAGAAGCACTTTATCTGCCCTTCCATTCCATTCTAAATGAAAGCTTTGCTAGATAGATCAATCTTGGTTGTTCACACGGAGGGTTAGCAACAGGGAAGTGGGAGGAGGAGAAGTGGGGAGAAGGTACAGAGAATAAGTAGCATAGACGGTAGGTAGAAAATAGATAGGGGGGAGGGCAAGAATAGTATGGGAAATATAGAATCTAAAGAACTTGAGACACATGGTCATAAACTAAAGGGGGGAATGGTGGGGGAGGGGTGTGCAGGGTGGAGGGGAATGAAGGGGGGAATAGAACAACTGTAATAGCATAATCAATAAAATATATTTAAAAAATAAAATAAAAAATAAAGTAGCACTTTAGCATGAATACACTTTTCTGAATGGTTTTCTATCTGCACAAAGACTCAAAGAAGGGCTTGGAATTATATTAACTTGTTAATGACAATTATTTTCTGAGTTGTGAAGTTTGGTGTGCTGTTTTTGCCTTTTTATTTATTTTGTATATCTTAAATTTTAAAACTAAAAAAAAAACCTTACTGATTTTTACAAACAATAAAACTCACCATTCTTTAAAGCAATTATCACTGAATGTGTATCTAATTCTATTGCCTACCAAGACCCCTTAAAAGCAGAATGTAAGTATTTATATTACTACAAAAATAATTCTTTAGACAAATCAAATTTTAAAAGTCCAAAGTCCCTTAAACAGCTGGTAAAAGCAACAGTTATAGTTAAGACTGTAATTTGATCTGTTTAATCTCTGAAAGAGATTAGCTACAAATCAGTATTTTCTAGACAATGAATTTTGTGGCAAAATAAACCAGAGTGTACACAAGCCTCAACATTTGCTAGCACCTAACTTAATCAGAGGGTTGGCATTTGAAAATACAACAGATAAATCTTTCAATGTTTCAAGGTCAGTTTCTAAACTTGACATCTGGGATTGGGAATAGCCTTACCCAGGAATTTAAGGTCAGTGTTTGTGAACTTAAGGAAAGCATTGATGATTTGAAAACACAACAAATTCTTCATTCTTTCAAGGTTAATTTTTAAACTTGACATCTTGGATATTTAAGATCCCAAGAGTTTAAGATCAGGGTTTACATTAAGCGGGACCTCAAATCAAGTTTAGAAACAAGTAAATCTTTAATTATTTCTTAAAGAAAGTTTAAGGGGTAGTTTGAGAGGAAAAGGTTAGAAAAACAGGGCAATGTCCTGTAAATATAAGGTTGTCATTTGTTTTTTATACTAAATGAAATATACCTGTTTTGTGTTTAGTATGTTGTGCCTATTTTACTCCCTATGCCCAGGTAAATGTGTTTATATTAGGAAACTCCATGAGGACAGAAAATGTAGCTTTTTTATTGTAAATAATTTATATCTAAGAGTCTGCCCAATTGCGTGATTTGGGGCTGAAACGTGTAATCCGTCATGGACTGTCATTGCCCATAAATCACATATTGTCTTGCACAGAATGAAACAGTTTACAAAATTGTTACACACATCACTGCAGGTTATTTTCACAAGCATCTTATTTGTAGGTTGAACAAGTATTATCACTCTTACTTCTTAACAGATATGACTAGAACCCAGATTTTCAACATTTCTTTCAGGCACTACTGATAGGCAATCTATATTTCAACAACAGGTGAATTAAATGAACAGGTCAACCAATAATAAGATTCAACCAATTCTATTCCTGAACTGAAGTCCTAAAAATAAACTGTTCAGCTAAGTGAGATACCCTAATAATAGATGAATTTTAAATAAACTGCAAAGGGGGAGGGGAAACAGTGGGGACAGAGGTTGGTCTGCCCAGAGAATTGGAATTGACACACTTCAAATCAGGGTGAAAATATCCAAGAACACCATCAATGAGAAACACTATACAAACAGAAAATATTTTTTTTATGTTTTAAAAGGTCTTATAATAGACTTTTCAAAAAATAAAGTTTTATTTGCTTTAAAAGTGTTTTATGTCAGGGAATATTTCATATGAGAGGAAACCCCCCCAAAAAAACCAGAATTTATTTATAAAAAATTATATTATAAGAAATTAGCTCTGGCTGGTGTAGCTCTGGCTGGTGTAGCTCAGTGGATTGAGTGCAGGCCTGCGACCATGAGGATCACAGTTCGATTCCCAGTCAGGGCACGTGCCTGGGTTGCAGGCCAGTTCCCAGCAGGGAACACATGAGAGGCAACCACACATTGATATTTCTCTTCCTGTCTCCTTCCCTTCCCCTCTAAAGATAAATAAATAAAATCACCTTCAAAGTACTCTCCATTTGATGAAATACACCATCTGAGACATTTTTTCCACTGCTTAAAACAGTTTTTCATCTCTTCAATTTTGATGCCTTTTAGTGCTTCTGCCATTTTTTGTTTTACCTTTTCCACATCAACAAAATGTTTCTCTTGGAGGACTTTTTCATCTGGAGAAACAACAAAAAAAAGTTGGTTGGGGGAGATTGGGTGAATGGGGGGCACAGTGGTCACACCATTTTTAGTCAAAAACTGCTGAACACTCAGCGTAGTGTGGGCAGGTGCTCTCATAAATCACCCATGGTGAAATGAACAAATGTGTTAAAGAGTCTTCAAAAAAAGATTCACTGAAGCTGAATGCAGCCTCTCACAACACTATGTGATACACTGATACAGATGGGTTCCTAGAACACTCACCTAGCAGGGATGCCTGTACTACAGGGGGCCTGCCCTTGAGAAGATAATTTCATGTTTTTTGGGTCCCCCCTTGTAGTATAAATTTTCCAAATTGCACATGATCAAATTGTAGCACCCATGCATGCACTATTAAATATTTATTACTTTATTAGTTTAACTCTATATGATAAGTATGAAGTGATGTGTGAAGTGAAAGATTTCAAGTTCAGCATATAATGGCAAGAAATACATAATTGGAAATTTGCCATTCCCATAACATTAGAGGAGGTTTCATCCTACATAGACTGGTTTCTTCATTACCAACATAGTCATATTAAAAAAAAGGTCTTGATGCAAGAAAGATGAAAACTACCTTTATTTTCTCAGATTCTTAATAGGTTCATAGGAAGCAGGAAGACAGGAAAGAGGAATGAAGGCTATAAAACTGGGAATAAAAATTATGTTTTGTTATGCAATACGTCAAAGGAATTACTGCAAGAAAGCAAACTGGTCCAAGGAAGTATTAAAAAGTCAAAATGTGAGAACTCCTTGGCTGATACAAGGCAAAAACAGACAATCTTGTGTATAATAATGTTTAAAAAGATACTAAAAATCTATGTACTGTTAGAAAATAATGACAGAGATATATCCAGAAAATACCGAAATAAATGGGTAGGTTCCTCTTGAGAAGGAATAAAAAGCCTGAGAAGTAAACCTGTAAGCCAGACAGACAGGAAGCACTAAGGTGTAGGGGCTCCCTGGTTATCATTCACCTCCTCTCCAGTCTTCCAGGGGAGGTCACTCTAAAGACTGTCCCTTTAGGTCAAAAGACATATACATGCCAACTAACCAAGATTCCTAAATTTAGTCACATCTTCCCCAAGGCCACAACACACTAGACAGGAAGGATGAAAAGGACTATTCTGATGTTGCTTTTATTTAAAACTTTATTGAAACTGGCTCTCACCCCATTTTAGCCCCCTAAGTGAATGAAGACACATGTAAATTCTGAGCCTGGTTGTGTTCTTTTGGAATTATGTCTTAAATCTCTGAAAATGTGACTTTTCAAAATTAGGAAAGTAAAGCTAGGGCAAGAGAGTTCCGATGACCCATTTTACATGCCTGCTTCCTTGTTTGTCTGTGAGCAGAGCTAGACTAAGAAACCTTTCAGTGAAAGTCGAAAGCATGTCTGCAGTTGTATAATACTTAATGTTGACTTCTGCCCTCTCCAGCTCCATGAAAGGTAAGAAACAAAAGTTTAGGTAGAGTAAAAAAGAGCTTAGAAAACTTGGGATGAAAAGGAGAGTTTCCTTGGTTCTTACACTTATCTATGACAGGTTATCCATAAAATCTATGTATTTGGTTAATACCTTTATGTGATAAGCATTAGAGTCTCTGTACATCGATATTTTCTTTTCTGTACTTCTGTCATCAGAATCCTCTTTCAACATTTCCCTTCTATAACCTACTATGGAATTTGCAAGGCTAGTTTTCCTTGCCTATGCCTGTAAAGAATTGGCCAAAATAGCTATGAGTTTTTGAATACCATCTTTCATCTGTCTAGTTGGAGGGGTGTATGTATGTATGGTTTTTAATAGAACAATACTAAATGTTTTAAAATTCTTTAATGTCTTTTTAAATCTATTTCTAGAGTTAATCTTCTGTAAATTACTATAAATAATTTCTCATATATTCAAGCCACTAATTTTTAAATTATTACATAAATTTAGAAAATGTTATCTAACAGTATTTCATATTGAATAAATCTAGAATGTACTTAGTTGAAATATTTAGAAATATATTTAACAACTTTTATTCATAACTACTCTGATGTGAATTTGAGTAGAAAAACATAACTTTGCTTAGTTAGAAAGTGGTTGATAGCTGTCTACTCTCTGTAAAAGTGGATCTAACTATCTAGGAGAATAATATCTGAAAAATAAAAATTTTTATTACTGGTGATAAGATTCAGCACAGTAGGCACAAAAGATTCAACATAATATTTTTATCTGGAATGATTCTATAAATGAAACTTCTGAATAATTATGGTCTAGTAATGCTTTGTGAACAAGGTTAGAGACCATCAAGAAAGAGAACACCAACTCACAAGACTGTGCTAGATAAATAACAAACATTTAAGGGATATCAATATAGTGGCAGAGGATATTTGCAAAGTAAGATATTTAAATACAGTGAAGGTATCTTATTAAAGTGACTTATGTCAAGTGACTAATGTTGCTATAGTGATCATAGCTAATAGATTTTTTCATGTTAGACAACACAATAATCAACTTCTGCATTCTAACTGTCCTAGAGATTATTCTCAAGACAATTAGAATGCAAATTTAATTGTGTGTGTGTTGTAGGCATTTTTCATATAATAAAAAATGTTACCAAGGAGGTATCTTTCATTTCATTTATTTTAGGTTTAGTGGTATGGTTCTCTTTTATGCTTACAAGATCTGAGCCTTAGGTTTGATAATCTTCAAATCATTTTAAAAAATTAATCTTAAAAGTAGCTTCCTGCTACATTACTACGAAGCACCTGCATATCATGAACAATATTATTTACATAATTTTTCAAATATAACTTGTACCTTTATTTTTGACACTCAACATTTCTTTTCTATCTGTAATACTCCCATTAATATAATGGTGAGCTTAAAAATAATAATATGCAGTGAACTATGAAAATCAAAATCTATAGGCCCTTTCTAAATCAGGTTTATATTAAAGGTTAATTTAATTTGAACATTGTATTTGGGTATTTTTTAGTAACACATGTCTTAAATTAGTACAGAAATGTCTCAAATGGCATTCCAGTTTGACTTGGAAATGCATGTGTCAATCAGAACACTAACTTGAGGTAAAAAATAAAAATAAAAAAGCAAGCAAGACCAAAAATGAAGGTATACATTGATCTTACCCTGGCCAAGCGGCTATGTTGGTTGAAGCGTTATTCCACATACCAAGAGGATGCAGATTTGATCCCTGGTCAGGGCACATACCTAGGTTTCAGGTCCATCCTCATTTGGGGTGCATACAAGAGATAATCAATCAATGTTTCTCTCACATCAATCTCTCTCTTCTTCTCTCTCTCTCTCTCTCTCCTTCCTCCTCCTCAGGTGAGGATTTAAAAAACAATGTATACAGTATTTCAAAGTCCACATTTTGACACATGGGATATAAAATTACATTTGAAAACAGAAAAATCACATTATAATTTTGAACTTCTCAAAGTCTATTTTTCCCACATTACAGTTTCCTCTGGGTGGCAGTTGTTTATACCGTTGATATATTCTTGTAAAAGAGATCCAGGTTCTGCTTTTATCTCTTGAAACTTTTTAAGCTCACCACTTGTTACAAAAAGTGGTCCAGCTTTTAGCTTTGCTATTGTGCGGCAGCACCTTCAAAAGTGAGCACATTAAAGTGTCAGCTTTTCTTCTCCAATTTGTTTTATCACTACTGAAAAAGCAACAATATATCCAAGGAAGTGTAAAAGAGAATTTATGTCCAATATACCTGTAACATAATGAGCCTAAAATTGCTGATGATTAGTAGTAAAATTCAGCCTTTTTAGAAATGTACAGACCTTTTTTGTTGTGCAGATAGAATAATGGCAATAAACATGAGCAAAGGCAATGAAGATCTACTCACATACATAAAACAGAAAGTGGTGTCCCTCCTTTGCTGACACCCATTTAACATATTTCCACTACCTACAAAATTAAAGGCAACCTCCTTAACCAGGCCCAGAAGGCTTTCTGTGACCCAGCAACTAAATACCTCTCCAGCTTCCTTTCCCACCAATCTCTATCCCAAATGTACATCCCAGGTTGTTTCTTGCCTTTCCCCATGCTGTTTCCTCTCCTACAATGCCCTTCCACCTTCCACACAGGCCCCCCACTCCACCCCCACCACCCAATTGGCCTGGACAACTCTTGCTTATCTTCTAATATTCAGCTCAGTGGTTACCTCCTTTAAGAAACTTTCTCTGGGACTCCCTTTCTCTCTTATCCCAGGATAAGTTAGGTACTTTTCTTCTCTCCTAGCATTTTGTTAAACCCAGTTGGTGCACTTGCTACATAATATTTTCATGATCAGTTTGTATCTGTCACAAATGTCATGGAGGCAGAAACCATACATTTATTCGTTCATTTATTTTTCTAGTGCCTGGTGCCCAATACATGCTCAATTATTGTTTAACAGATGAATGAACATACTAGGGAGTAGGCAGAGAAAGGAAATTAAGATGTTAAAGAGACAGAAGAAGAATCAGTAAGTAAAGAATCAACAAATCCAAGAGAAGATTTTAAGAAGAAATTAATGAAAACCAAAGAAAGTCCCTGGATTTGACAGTGGATGCTTGTGTGTTGGGAGGCAAGAGCCAGTGCTGAGGAAGAATTAATGATGTGTGACAAATGACCAGATAAGGAAGGTCCTGGAGAAGGGATTCACAATGTGGGAATTCCCACTCTTTTTCTTGGTCATTACTACTATTTCCTCTGACAGAAACACACTTTCTTTCCCCTACCATTCCTACTTTTCCTTCAAAACCAGCTTTTTTCACTTGTACTACCTCCATTGAACCCCTCCTGAATACCTCAGACTACATTAACTTATTTCTTCTTTTTAAAAAATTTATTATGGCCCTGGCCAGTGTGGCTCAGTTGGGTAGAGTATCATCCCAGAAAGCAAAGGGGTGGCAGACTCTATTCCCAGTCAGGGCACATGCCTAGCTTGCAGGTTTGGCCCACCAGTTGGAGCACATGCAAGAGGCAAACAATCATCGTTTCTCTCTCACATCAATATTTCTCTCCCTCTTTCTCTCTCTCCCTTCCACTCTCTCTAAAATAAAAAAGCATGTCTTCAGGTGAGGATAAAAAATTAAAATTAAATTAAAAAATAAAAGTTTATTATCAGATTAAAGTATTTTCGACTGTTTCTTCTGCTCTCCCCAACTAGATTATAAAATTCCTTGAAGAAGAACTTTGTCTTACTCTTTTTTGTCTATCCCTCAAAGCTATACAGGGTACAGGTAGACATTTAACAAATACTTAAAACTACAAAATGATATAGTTAATAGAATGTTAATACATATTACCTGGACCAAAAAAAATGGAATGGAGTCCATTCCATTTTTCAGTCCCCAGTCAGGGCGTGTACAAGAGGCAACCAATCAATGTTTCTCTCTCTTTCTCTCCCTTCCTCTTTTTCTAAAATCAATAAACACATGTGAGGATTTTTGTAAATGGAATGGTCTACATATACATACATTTTAAATATGTTTTGACCTGGAGAGTTTTTATACCTTTTATGCCTGTCCCCAGCCACATTAAATTACTATCTTCTTACCTACCATCTTCTTACCTACTGTCTTGCTTTCCCATCTCTTTTTAGTGCTCTAGTATCCTTAGATTAAGAAAACATAAAATTTTGCCTGAAGTAAATATTCCTGAAGGCACATTTATAAGATTACATAATGTAAGGTATTCTCTTTATTTTATTGTAGCTATTTAACCTTCCACAAATCTCACTAATTCATTTTTATTTATTTAGTGACTGATTTTTAACAGTTTGGGCTAGTGTTCATTTTTATAGCAAGTTCAAGAAAACTAGAATATCTCAGTAGCCTGGAAGATTAGACTATAAAACGAAATTTTCAGAAGTAGGGTCTATTACTCCTTTTCAAGAACTGGATCTTCTCTGTCTGTAGATGACCCACTCAGCTCCTTAGTGCCCCCTGACTCCCACTTTAGCTGGTCAGTTTCTTACTTGGCTCCCAGCAGGGGTCAGAGCTGGAGTAACTTCAGCAATATAAAATGTATTGTCCACTGGCTACAGTGCTTGAGGATCAGCCAAATTGTTGGAGATCATGAACAGAGTTCAGAGCAATGGAGGCTATTAGTATCTTTCAGATGAGTACTTAAACTAGACCTAATTAACTGTAGGGAATAGTTTACAAGTTATAATAATATACAGATTTGTTCATTATTTGCAGAAAAAGAGTACCTCCTTCATCCAGTATTGTAGTTGACTATTCAAATAAATTTGGCCTCCATTTTTATTAATTTTAAATTAGCTTTACTTTCATGTTCTGTATCTTAGAAACAACTGTGTGTGTGTGTGTCTGTGTCTGTGTGTGGGCTTAAGATATGCTTGGGATTGAGCTAAACTCTTTTCATAGAACATCTCACTTAACTTTGCAATGACCCTATGAAAGAGATGCTCTTATTCCCATTTTATGGGTAATCATACTAAGGTTTACAGAGATTAAGATGTTGCTAAAGATATTAGAGCTGGTAAACGTAAATCCAGGTACCCCAACTCCACAGCCTGATCTCAAAGCCATTATAGGATATTATCTCCACAGACCCTGTTTTTTTAAATCAAATCCCATGAGCACAATTTAACCAATCCTTTATGGCATAGGGTTACCACATGGCTGCCAATGGCTTGGCAACACAGTCACTCTCTCAGCCTTTGCTATCAATTGTCAGTTCTGCTGGCTGCTGCCCACTGCTAGAAGCTTGACCTTCCTACCTTACTACTTTTAATCTGCAATAATCTATTTTTAACTCTTATATTTGTTAAAATTGTTCATAAAATAAGTCAACAAACTACAAGTGACTATCTGAGAGTATCTCCAGTAAGGGCATGAACTTTGTGGAAAATATTTCAGTGGCTCAGAAACCTTTCTCCTTTCCTTTCAAAGATCTTTGCAGTGTTCCCAAATGAGTGAAACAGACACCAGAAAAGTTACTAAAAGTTACTTACCAATATAAATTATCTATATGAATTATGAGGTTTTTATGTGTTTACATACTATTTACTTCCCAAGAACACTAAACAGAACAGTACAGAAACTGTGAGGAAGAAGGAAGTGTGAATTATATGTGTGAATTTCATTGATCTACATCACCATCCCTGTCAATACAATCAATGACAGTAAAGTAGTAGGACCCTGCCTCCATCTCGCAGAAGAAAACATTGATCCAACAGAAAAAAAAACAAGTTAATTCATTTTCATTTTCTGCCACCACCTCCAGGCTAAGAGCACTTCTTACCTTACTGCACTGTTCAAGCCCATGCTTCAGAATATTGGGAGGAGCATCATATAGAAATGGCTGAAGGGCTGGTAATAGGTGCATTTTTGTAAGGTATTATGGCTTTTTTACTCTACTGAAATACAAAGCAGAGTGCATAATTAAGTAAGCAATCAATGAAAGCTTGACAAAAATTCATGTTTCATGTTCCCGGAATTTAAAAATGAAATCAATTTCCTGGTCTAAGCTGCAGTTGTTTCATTTTTAAAATACTTGTCAGAAAAATTCCTTATATCTTTTATTGGTTTCATCATAGAATACTTTGCCAGTTGCTTTTGTGTCAAATTTTAGTCTATATGGTGTATTGTTGAGCTCTTAAAATATCTATGAGGAAATTAAAATTATAAATCATAAAGCTATAGCCTGTAAATTAATATGTATTACATTTTATTAGTGTAAAATTTGTGCATATGAAACTGTGAGATAACAATGAGAAAATAGTTTACTGTAGAAAGCCAGTATCAGTCATTCTATGTTCTCCAAAAGGCTTCCTGGCTTATAGATATGTAGTCAGAAATATTCTACTGTGTGCATTATTGAATGAGCATTTGCAGATGCACTGCTACAGATCACAGGTAGAAATCACAACACTCACAGACAGAAGCAAAACAGAATCTACTCAATTGCAGAGTAAAGCTCAAAACCAGGGAGTGCATCACCCATGAGCAAAAGAATAGGCACCCACAGGCACCTTCCCCACTCTTCCCCAGCACTCTGTATTTCATGGTGACACCATATGGTGCTGCCCCCCTGCCAAAAGTATAGCTGAAGAAGGGCTCTGATGTGACTGCAGCACATTCCTGCAGCAAGCTCTAAGGGCATGGCTGGTTGTAATTCTGTTTGTTTGTGCTAAAGCCTACCCCCTTCACTTTGGAAGGCTTCACAATTGGGCTTATCTACAGCTGTTTTCCCATATAAATCCACATCTGTTTGTATGTACAGGAGTGGGCAAAAATAATTTTATTTAAGATTCAAATTTGTTTTCTATATTCTGCAAGTAAATTCTTTCCAAAGGCATAAGTTTCTGCACTTTTAGGAAGTTTATGAGAACTTCTTAACCAAAAGAGTTTCAGTAAGTTAGCTTTGAAAATACTAATACATACAAAATATACCAAAGCAACAGTATATCACAAAGTATATATCTACTACATACAATTTACAAATACAATGATATTCCAGTTTATAAAATATATAAAATATGCGTGAAATCACTTAATGACGGAAATTTAAACATCTTTTCTCAAGAAAAGAAAGTAAAGTTAATTTTTAGATACTTATACATCCCTTTAGGAAGAATACTATTTTATATAAGGTTAAAATAACTTTCAATACAATTTTCTAATATAAGGAAAATTGGGAGGGAGAGAGCAAACAAAATAACCCCTCAAATGGAATGACCTATTAGAATTAACCAATGGTAAAGTTCTTTCCTGAATAAAAGTCTTCTTTCTACTCCTGTCTAGGATTATTTTACAGAGCACCAGCAGAAATAAAAAACTCTGTCATGTTAGAATCTAATTTGGTGTTTGTCAAAGTACCATCTGCTAAAAATACTATCCTTTTCACATTAAATTGCCTTGGCATCTTTGTGAAAGATCAACTGACCAAAAAAGAGTCTATTTCAGATTCTGAATTAAATCACACTGATATATATCTTTCTGTAAATAAGTACCACACTATCCTTATCCCTGTAGCTTTGAGTACAATTTGAAATTAGACAGTTTAAGTCCTTCTTTTTCAAGATTGTTTTGGATAGTCAGGCCCTTTGTATTTCCATGTGAATTTTAGAATCAGCTTTTGAAGGTAATGAAGGGAAGCCAGCTGGGATTTCTGATAGATACTGCATTGAATATATAGATTAATTTGGAGAATATTGTCATCTTAACAATATTGAATCCCTCAATCCATGAATATAGACTGTCACTCTATTCAGATATTCTTTAAATTTTTTCAGCAATGTTTGTAGTTTTCAGTGTACAAGTATTATACTTCTTTTGTTAAATTTATTTTTAAATAACATTTTTGATGCTATTGTGAATAAAACTATTTTCTTAATTTCATATCTGAATTGATCATTATTAGCAAAATATAAAAATTTATTTTTATATTTTGATCTTATATCCTATAATGTTGTTGAATTCTTATTAGTTCTAGCATTTGTGTGTATGTATGTGTGTATTTTATAGGGCTTTCCACATACAAGATCATGTCATATGTTGAATGTAAAATTTGATAGTCTTTAGTAAACGTGCCTATGTTATCAAAATAAAATAGTTCTACAACTTCATACTGTGATCGGAAAGAAATTATTTGAGCTCAAAAAGGCATTTTTATTTAGTTAACTCAGTAGATCAATATCTTACTTTGAACTTATGAATAACAGATTATGAATTTTGCTAGTTATCACTGCATTTAGTAGTTACTGTTTATCCTTAGACATGCATAAGCATGATGATGTCAGAGGAGTCAGGTGCTATCTATCTATTTAGGGCAACTTCAGTTTGAGCCTGGTTTACTATGAACTAGCATGGCATCTATAGTTCTATATTCATTTATTTTTCTGTCATTTCTAAAAATTGACTCCATCCACACTGATCAAAGCTGTTATAAAAACCACAGTAGGTGACTAGCAACACTACAGTATATGTCTTAATGACATACATAAGAATACTAATTAACAAAATAAAAGTATCAGTACAAACACTTGATACCATTTCAGTTGTGTTTCACCAAAAAAATGAGAGAAATAAAAAAATATTCATTATTGCTTTGCTTAATGGATTACTTTTTTTAACTGTTCAAAAAATTTTAAGGGTGTTTCTTACTCAAAAGTTAATTTTCTTCTGAAAGCATTCTAGTCCAAAGAGCTATAATGAAAGGAGAACATTGGAATACATTTTGTGACTTTGGGTTAAGCAAAGTCCTTTTAGGTATGGCTCTAACTGCATAAGCAATAAAAGAAAAAAATACATAAATTAAATTTCATTAAAATTTAAAAGTGTGCTACAAATAATACCATCAAGAAAGTGATAAGGCAATGTACAGATTGGGAGAAAATACTTATAAACCATACATTTGATAAATATTTGTACCCAGAATATACAGAGAACCCTTACAACTCAAGAATAGCATAATTTCTAAATGGGCAAAGAGTCCAATTGGACTTGTCTCCAGAGAAGATATATGAATAAATAATACGTAAATAAATAGATTATGAATGTCATTAACCATCATGGAAATACAGATCCAAACCACAATGAGATGTGGATTCCAATTCAGACCCACTAGAATGGGTCTGAATTGGGCCATAATGAAAAACATTGGGCTATAATAAAAAATAAAGATAATAAGTGTTGGCAAGGATGTGGAAAATTGGAATCCACATATGCTGCTGATGGGAATACAAAATGGTGCTCACATTGGAACACAGCTTAGTAGTTCTTCAAAATGTTAAACAGAGTAATTGTCCTCGCTAGTGATTATACTACTAAGTATCTACCCAAGAGAAATGAAAGTCCACACAAAAACTTGTATAATAGTGTTCATAGCAGCATTATTCATAACAGTCAGGGTAGAAACAACCCAATTGGTAAATGGACAAACAAAACGTGGTATATCAATATAACAGAATAGCATTTGGCAATAAAAAGGAACAAAATATTAATATGTGCCATACGAGAGTGAGCCTTGAAATTTATGCTAAGTGAAAGAAGCCAGGAACAAAGAGACACATATATTGTACAATTCTATTTAAATGAAATGTCCAGAAGAGACAAAGAGAGAAAGTAAATTAATGGTCTCCCAGGGCTAGGTAGGGAAGATATGAAGTGATGGCTAATGGGGGAATAAAATTGTTTTAAAATTAGATTATAGTGTGGCTGCACAATTCTGAATATACTAAATGCCAATGAATTGTATGCTCTAAATGGGTAAATTATATGGTATATAAATTATATTTCAATAAAGCTGCTCAGAAAGTTAAAGGGAACAAACATTCATGATAAGAACACAATAAGTCAAATAATTATCTTAGAAATAGTTTTATAACTAAGGTAATATAATGAAGTTATTCAAATGCCAAAAGTAACATGAAACATAGGATGGCTCTAAATCAAAACAATTGAAAATGCAAATGCCTGAATATTTTAAAATATATGTAGATAAGCTTCTTAAATAAAAGATGTATTTTTCCATTTTTAATAAGGTATTTGAAATAGTACAGATACAGGCAGATAATAAATCTGTGTGAAAATACACAAGAAATTCTAAGGGGCTGTCTTTGGTTCTCTTGAATTGGAACAAATTACAGAATGCTAACAGAAGCTGACATGCTTTTGGGACAAAATAAACTTAAACTAGCCTTATAATTTGAAAGCTGCCATGCATTAACAAATAAGAAATGCCATTAAACAGTTCCTGAAGCTCTTGGTTGCGTCTTTCCCCACTGAGATAGTGTCAAATCAATCAAACTTGAACTTCCATCCAATAACTGATACAATCCAAAAGATCTTGAAGAAGAAAAAAATAATAAAGTCCCTACATTAAAAAATATTTGGATGAATTTGGAACTTTGGAAGATTGCTAATGGAACAATGAATAATAAAGATCCTACTTTTTAATTAAATAACCAGTGTGTTTCCTGAAAGTAAATATTTTATCAAATACAGACAGAAGGAACTTTAACTTCTATTAGAAAACCTAAATGTTTTACTAAAACCACCTTTGTCAAAATAAAATGCAATAAAAATTATCTTGCATTTATTCCACTGATATTTATACATTATAATATCATAATAATTCATTAAAAACCAAGTTATATAAACTTGGTAGTATTGAAAAGTATATGTAATGGGCAAAAGTAGGTTTATAGTTGTACGTATGTGAAACACAGAATTTTATTCTTGTATTATCATGTATTAATTATTGTATTATTTATTTATATTACAACTGTAAATCTACTTTTGCCCATTCCTGTATGTGCTAAGAGACTATTTGCAAGGGTTTCTCAGCTATAATTACTATTGACTCCCCACTATTAATTTTTCATGCTGTAGCTCACACATTCCTTTTTCCCAAAACTTACAGGAAAATAAAAGTTGTTAAGTGCAGGAATCTGAAAGTGATAGAGTATTTGATTATGTATTTGTTGATAACCTAGCAGTTGAACATAATTATTATTGTAGCCTGGGCAGCACAGCTTATGTCTATAGAAATCCTGCAGAGGAGCCATGCCACTGGATCACTAGAAGTAAGGGGCAGGTGGATGAAAAGTGAGAAAGAAGGAAGAGGAAAGACAAGAAATTTGGGGGTTAAAGGAAGGACATGGGAGGAAGAAAAGACAATAATGATAATGGGTTAAAGAAATTTAAGGCCAAAAGAGAACTACACGTATAGATTAAAATTATATATGTAAGTAAACTGTCCTGAGCAATTCAAAACTGAAAATAAGGTTGTGATTTCTCAACCAGAAAGTCAAAAAAACACAGAATTCTTAAATGGCAAAAGGCCTTAGCACATTGTCAATCTTACTTGTCCTACCAAGAATTGCCAAGGAATGCAGTTAACATCAGAGAAATATAAGGGAAGCCCCAAAGCTATCAAATCGTTGCTTTGATTTAGAAAGTCTTATAAAAAATGGAAAAAATTAGTCTTAAAAATCAACTTCACTCAATGAATTTGCAGAGAAATAATGTGTGAACACAACCAAATATATTTTAATTTTATAAAATTTATAAATTATAAAAATTTCAATTTATAAATACATAAATTGGTAATTAAATAAATAATTCACCATAAACAACTTTCAGAGCCCCTGAACTATGCAGTTCTCATTAACTTCCTGCCTCATTGTATCACCTAAAGTTATTCCAGCAAGTGTGTTTTCTTATATGTTAATTTATTGTTTTAATTAAAATGTATTTATTATTTTTTAAAAGATTTTATTTTTATTTATATTTACAGAGAGAGGAAAGGAAGGAGAGAAATATCAATGTGTGGTTGCTTCTCAAATGCCCCCTTCTGGGGACCCGGCCTACAACCCAGGCATGTGCCCTGACTGGGAATCAAACCAGCGATACTTTGGTTCACAGCCCACGCTCAATCCACTGAGCTATGCCAGCCAGGGCATTATTGTTTTAATTAAAATGTAAATATAATTTAACTTACTGTTGTTAACTTTCCTTTGAATCATTGTCTTTTCTTTGCACTTCCTTTAATCCAAGTCAATTCTAAAAGCTGTTTTCAAAAAGTTACATGTTTTCCTAATAAGATAGTATGTTGAGAAATATTTTCTTTCTTTGAAACTCTATAATTATAAAGCAATCTATCCTACTTTATATTCATGTTTTGTGAAGAATTTTAGTAGCTAGTAACATTTTTTAGAAAGCTGAATTTTTAAAAATGCATATTTTAAAATGTTTAATTTTGTTCATAGTATAGACATTTTTATTTTAAGGAACAAATTTAAGACATATAATTAAAAGACCTGGCAAACTTGGAGTTAGGAGAGGTAGATCATGGCTTCAGGAACACCTCCTGCCTAGTTACATTGTACATTTGAAAACACCTTAAGTTTATTTACACTAAATTTGTTAATATAAGATGGACTAAAGTTCTTTCCACCTAATTTTAACTCCAAAATTCTACTACTCCTCAATTCTTATTCTATAAAAAAAAAAAAGTCAGCAGGAATATAGAAGGCAACAACCAAATATTCATTTTACAAACAACTTTGCTCCTGCAGAAAACTTTCTTTAAAATGTATCACAGATTTTTAGAGACGGGGTAATCCATTTTCAAAGAAGAGTTTCCTCAGTTTTGATAAATTTATATTTCTTGACCTCTGAAAGCAATATTGTCCATAATGAAAATCAAAACATTTTAAATTACATATTTTTAAAGAATGAATCACAATCTAACAAATCTTCACAAAACAGTAATAATTAAGACTTACTTTTTTAAAAACATCAGTAAAATGGTCATTCTACCCAAAGCAATCTATAAGGTCCTATTAGGATACTAATGGCATATTTAACAGAATTAGAACAAATACTCCAAAAATTTATATAGAACCAAAAAAAAGACCCCAAATAGACTCAGCAATTTTGCAAAAGAACAAAGCTGGAGATATGACAACTCCTGATATTAAATTATACTATAAGGCCACTGTAACAAAAAATTCATGGTACTGGCACAAAAACAGACATATAGATCAATGGAAAAGAACGGACCACCCAGGAAGAAACCCACATCTGTATGAGCAATCGATATTTGACAAAGGAGGCAAGTACATACAATGGAACAACGACAGTCTCTTCCATAAATGGTGTTGGGAGAACTGGGCAGGTACATGAAAAAAAATGAAACTAGACCACCAACTTATACCATAGACAAAAAAGACTCAAATTGGATAAAAGACTTAAATGTAAGTCACGAATCCATAAAAATGCTAGAAGAAGAGAGAGGTAATAATATCTCAGATGTTCAATGTAGAAATACTTTTATCAACATATCTCCTAAGGCACTGGAAACAAAGCAGGAAATAAACAATGTGTGGTTGCCTCTCACACACCCCCTACTGGGGACCTGGCCTGCAACCCAAGCATATGCCCTGACTGAAGATCAAACCAGAGACCCTGTGGTTCACAGGCCAGCACTCAATCCACTGAGACACACCAGCCAGGGCTGAATATACACTTCTACAAAGAGAATATGCAGATGGCCTGCAAACATACAAGAAAATGCTCAATATCACTAATCATAGAAGAAATGCAAATTAAAACCTCAATGAGATATCATCTTATACCTGTTAGAATGGCTATCATCAATAAATACATACTTTTACTTGAAGACCCTCAGACCTTTCTGTTGACATGTACAAAGAAAACAGAAGTTGCCAAGTGTTTGTGACTGACAGCCTGTGCCTGCTCTGGGGTGAGTCTCCCTATCTGTCCTAAGGTCCAAGCAGTAATAGCCTTAATATGATCTGGTTCTTCTGACAAGCAGACTGACAACTGGGGCACACCCTGCAGCGCCGATCAAAAGAGCAAGTGTTATAAATCTAGAGCAGGACTAAAGAGTCTTCCATGTCTCTCAAACATTAGAATAAATCATTTTAGTCTTAATCCTTTTTCCCCTAGATGGCTCAATAAGTGAGTGCATCACGGGGGCTGTCATTTTTTCAAGTCAATAAAATGAGTAGAACTAATTTACCTTAATTATCTGTTACAATTCAACTAAACCAAGACAATCTCTGCTAGCATTTACTCCCCAAATAGAGAAGCATTTAACCAAACAACAGATGCCATAGATTAGTACATAGGCAAAAAAACAGATTCTACTGTGACAGCTTTAAAATGCTTAGATTTTAAAACCCTTTATTTTCCTTTGTTAAAAAAAGTTAATTTCGAATCTTTTAAACCTGATTTTCACTAAGCATAATAAATCTGACAACAAAGTAACTACTATAGATTTGAAATGCAATGAATAATGTGAGCCAGAATTCTATTTAAGTAATTTTTATTTTTTAAAGACTTTACTTATTTATTTATATTTTTTAATTTTTAGTTTTTTTTATTTTTAGAGAGAAGGGAAAGGAAAAAGAGAGAGGGAAAGAAACATCAATGTGTGGTTGCCTTTCATGTGCCCCCACTGGGGACCTGGCCTGCAACCCAGGCATGTGCCTTGACCAGGAATCAAACCAGTGACACTTTGGCCAGTACTCAATCAACTGAGCCACACCAGCCAAGGCAGATAAGTAATTTTTAGATTAAATATATTCACTAAAACCTTTCCTGAAATAGTAAGTAAATTTTAATTAATTTTGGCCAACTTTTAAGTGACAGTTTTGCCCATTTGAACATGATCAAATGTCAAAGTAGAAATGATTATTTTTGTTACACAGATAGCATTTGATTATATTTTGCAATTTAGGCTTCAGTTTTATCTAAATAATCATAACAAAATTAAGTAAAGGACCTCAAATACATCACAGTTTCTATATCTAAGGAAGAATCAAATAGCCAAATCAAATGATAATTCCAGAGTCTGTTCCAGTTTCTACAGGAATAACTTTCTAACTAATTTGAGACTATAATAATTATCATGTTAAATTTATTTATTTTATTTTGAAGTATATTTTATTCAGTATGCTGTTACAGTTGTCCCATTTTTTCTCCACTTTATCCCTCTCTGCCCTGCAACTCCCTTCCCTTCAACAATGTTCCACTCTTGGTTCATGACCATGGTCGTACATGTAAGTTCTTTGGCATCTCCATTTCCTATACTATTCTTAACCTCCCCCTGTCTGCTATGTGCCTACCAATTATGCTTCTTATTCCCCGTACCTTTTCCCCCAATTCTTCCCCTCTCCCTCCCCACTGATAACCCTCCATGTGATATCTATTTCTGTGATTCTGTTCCTGCTCTAGTTGGTTTGGTTTTGTTTTTGTTTTTTAGGTTCAATGGTTGATAATTGTGAATTTGTTGTCATTTTACTGTTCATAGTTTTGAACTTTTTTTTCTTAGGTAAGTCCCTTTTTATATTTCATATAATAAGGGCTTGGGCACCTTAAATGCAGTACCACAAAAGTCAATGTCACATTGTCATGCTACCATAGCAAAGGCCAAATGATCATATATACTTTTTCCCCCTGTACATTTAAATTTGGCTATTAAGACCAATTTCCTGAAGAGACCTGCCATATTTCTTCATTGGATTCTTTTTTTCCAACTAAAAATGTTTGTCTGCCAATACAAAAGGTCAGACCTGTCTTCAGAATGAGACAACTTTCCAGAAAGTCCATACTCTTGGGCACATCAAGACTGAAAAAGGAGGAAAGGAAGTCAGCCTTCTCCACTTCACCCTCCAAACTCTGACTGAACTGGTCTCAGTTGTAATGAACAGCAAATAAGTAACATGACTGTGCTTTAAAAATTATAAAGTATTATTTAAATGTGAAGTGTTGTTATTAAGTCCTTACAGTACTATCTAGAAAAAAAGAAAAAGTGACACAGGTGAGTTTGCCTAAAACTGCTGCTGCCACATTGATCTTCAACTAACTGAGAGACAGCTAGGTAGGAGAGGCCAGCAGCAACCCTAGACCAAAGGAGGGAAGCACCTCCTGGTTAGTTTGGGGAGGAAATAAAGGAAGCAAAAGCAATCGCTGCTTCTTTCATCATTCTTCCTACGTGTAAGCTTTCTGACGATCTGAAAAAGAACCAATATCAAAAATCCCAGTAATATCCCCGCAGCGACCCTTCAGAAAGCAGCACTACTCTTCTAGTCTCTGTTATAGTCTTTGGTAATAGAAGAACAAAAAGAAACGTGTAGGATAAAAAGTGAGCAAAGCAAAGAATTATCAAGGAATAGGTAGAAAATAAAGATCTGAGGCTCCTTTTTATTCTGAGGATTAGCAAGGGATAAAAAAAAAATCCACAGTTCTGTTTAACATACAGCAGCAGGTTTTCTATGCCGATAAGAAACCTACACCCCAGAGGGTTGCCAAAGACACTATAAGCACACAGCCACTGAAGCATCCTTCAGGAGATCGATATTTATTCATTCAATCAATATTTTTGAACACCTACTATGTATCAGGGCTACACTCTATGGTGGGTTACTATTGAGATGAGGCCAAATTTCTACAGCAAGGACACAAAAAACTGCTGTCTGACATGTGCTCTGAATTGCCCCCCTCTAAAAAGAGAAATGAGTTCATGAAACCTGTTGGAAAGTAGATAAGAAGAGGTGTCTTAGCCATTGTCATCTCCTATTCAAATGACAGAAAAGGGGAGAATGACTACTGAGCAAGTAACTTAAAAATAGTTGTCTTTAATCAAAGTATGTTTTACATGTTTGTAAATATGTACAGTCAATCCTTCAGGATACAAATACACTGAATGCTGTATTTCAATTGATATAATATTAATACTCAGAGGTATTGCTATTTATATATACTGAATCCTGAGTGAAACTTTTAACTATCTACAAAGTAAACCTTACTTCAAGCATTGTTTTCAGAAACTTCCTAATAATCTTTGAAAACAAGCTGAAGAATCCTTCAGGTTTCTTTCACTGTGGTCAGTTATATTTTATAATCTGTAGGAGAGTATTACTATGGTTCTGTCTTAGAATCACTACAATAACTAGAGAAAATAAAGCAAGAACAAATCTTGGAAATGATCACTGTCATTGCCAGATTCTCAGAGTGAGATCCCACATAACCAAGCATCATGATGCCAGGCAGGTTTACGTTTCCTTTGTAAGACCCAGTGCAATCAGTCACGGGAGCAACTCCTCCTGTGTTAACTATCAACTGTGAACGCTAGGGGAAAGGAAGGAGAGCTAGGTAATTGTGACCAAAAAGCATAAGATAATCTTTAAATATTACTTAAGTATTGCCAAACATTTTTTACCTGGGACCTAGTAACACCTGGTGAAATTTGAAATATGATTTAGTGAAATTACATACTTATTAAAAATATACAAGTACAATAATCCTATTTTGAATGTACAAATATACTCACTGTGTGGAGCTTATCCTGTGCTTCAATTTTTCATGCATAGATGGCACAACTTTTATCCCTATGCTAATGGTTGTCAAAATTCCTCACCTAGACACTAAGCCTAGGGCTAGTTCATAACTAGCTAACTACTGAAAGCCCCAATCACAACGTGTGAGTAAGAAGCAGATTAATCATTGAATGCTGAACGACACTGTCAGACTTGAATTATTCTAGCCTCATTATCCCCTCTTCACAAATAATGATTACTAGCTGATTACACTTCAATCATAAAAAATTGCAACCAAGTAAAGATATTAGGCAAAATAACGAACGAGGACTTTAAGCTTTAGTAAAATGAAATTGGTTAATCAAAATATACACAGAAAAAGATACAACTTCAGAATCCACCCAGGCTTGCTTCATCTCTATGCCTTTGGCATCTAAGAACTCAGAATAGGAAGCACCATGTAAGAGTAGCTACTAGAGCAGTTACATGGGGCTGGGTGCCTGGTGGTTTCTCTCACCCTGGAACTGTACAACCTCTCACTACTCTCAGCTGACCTGAAATAACAAAAATGGCAAAAGTCTACATGAAAAGCAGGAAGTGATAAAAACCGGTATTTCTGTTTCAAACTTTAATGATATGACCCAGTGGTGTTCTCAACAGGGGGCACCTTTGTCCCCTGGGAAGCATTTGGCAATATACTGAGACAATCTCAAGTATCATGATATGGGAAGAGATGCTACTAGAAGGGGCCAAAGATGCTCCTAAATATACATCCTGCAGTGTACAGGACAGCTCCCCACAACAAATGGTTATCTAGTCCAAAATGTCCATAGTGCTTAGAATGAGAAGCACTGACCTAACCAAACCATGCAGCATAGCACCTGGACCTTTTACAAATTGACGTTTTACTTAACAACAAAAACTAACTAATGTTTTTGTAGTTAAAGCTTTTTTTTAACCTCAGGTATATATTTTGCAGTTTCTCCAATTAAAGTGGAATTATCTTTCTTCATGTATTCGTCTTTGTCCTTCATTCAAGTAAGTACAACTGGAATGATTTCTGCTTTAACCACCATTTCTGCCAAATCCACAGAATGTTTTGCAATCTGACGGAGAGCTGAAAGGAACTGATGCTGTCAAGCAAAAACCAAAATAAAGCATTACTTAGGGTCCAATGCAAAGTTCAGATATAATTTAAACAGCTATTTATACATAGTCAAATTTCTCTATAAAAAGAAAAAATAATTATATGTCTAACATAACCTAAAATTTCTGGGTCTTGAGACATTTACATCTTAGTCTTATACCCAAATACTGAATTTCTTAAATTGCTTCAGTTCCCAATTAAATGTCTTAGTGTCCTATAGAATATTTAAATCTCTATTGCAGATGAGCAAAGAATATGACCTTTGGATTAATACTGTTTTTTTAATTATGTAATACTTAAATTGTTAATTTACAATACATGTGGTAATATAACACATAAAAAAGATCAGGCAGAACTAACATCTTATTTTTGGAATGATGATGATAACATTTCAAAGAACTTTCCATTGCTTAGTTAACACTAACAATTCAAAAATTTTATAGGACATGATTAATTGGGGATTATTAACTGAAGATCAGGCTTTAGAAAGCTATAAAATACAAACAAATATGAAATTTTTCATAAGACACTTAAATATAATAATGTTTAGATCCTTTCCTGCCCTCAGATTCAATCATTATGTGATTCCTTATTTTAGTGATTAATGTTAATACTGATGCTACTTCTAATTTTTAGCATTGCACATACGTTTCCCAGTCATGTCTTTGTTGTCTATTCCTCACAGGATAATTTTACAGGATAATTAAAAGGCCAAATATATAATATAGTCACACCTGTTTTCTATGATAATTTATAAATTACTTCTGAAAATATAATATTATCTATACACATTTTTATTTTCTCATATTAACAAAAGTCTGTTTATTTTTTAACTTATTTTTAAATACCTTCAATTGAACATCAGGGTTCAGAATTGTCTGGGCTAAGTGAGCAATGGCTCCTGCATCCACTACTGTCTGAGCTAACTCTGGAGAATGCTTTGAAATATCAGTGAGGATAGAAGCAGCCAACCTTTTCAAAGCAATTTCTGGCTCCTGGATACAGAGTAGTAAAAGAGGAACTGCTCCCGCATCCACCACAGCTTGTGACAGTTCTGTGGGTCCAAGAAAAGTAATTAAGTGAGTATGGGTGACTGACCCTTGTGCAAGCCATTTTTCACCCTGACAGATACAGCAAAGAAAAAAGGGGAGGGGGTACTTCACTGTCTCGACATCTGCATTTCAAATCAGCCTTCCTGGTTTCATAAACCATGTGGACCAATCCTGAGCTGAAAAGAATACAGGTCAATAGATGGACCTCCATTTACATGAACACATTTGAGGTAGATTAGGCTGAAATGGCTTGTTATTCTTTTTTTTTTTTTTAAGAGAGTAAGCAGATGTCAGCTGTTTAAGCTCTGACAATTCTGCACTTCTCAATAGGCAAGCATTTTATGCATGGTTTACAATAACAGAGAAAATTAAAGTACCAAAAATTTACCAACCATGTTAATTAGGCAGTATTTTGTACTATTTACATGAGTAAACATTAACATGAGTCTTGTGCTAACAATGTTGATTTTTAAATTCCATTCATCACATAGTATTTTTTAAAGATTTTTAAAAACTTTATACAAAATAAAAATGTGCATTTTATTGTACTCATAAAAACATTTTCAAAACAAGATTTATAACTAAACAGCATACTTTTTGTTTGTTTTGTTTTTTTGGTTTTTTAAATATATTTTATTGATTACGCCATTACAGTTCTATTTCCCCCTTCATTATGTTAATGTTTAGATTAAGAAATAAATGAATCTTTTAACTTGTCAGAAATAAACATTTTTTTAAATATTCACTGATTCGTGTATCCAAGAATAACAGCTATAAAAATAACACATTTTAAACTATAGATATGAAAGATAGTCAGGCAGACCCATGCATATGAAACAATGGTTTTTAAGAAACATAAAGCATAATACATAGTTACAAAATTCTATGTTTATTTTATTCCTGGCCTCCATTAAGGAATAATATATTACCGTATCTATAATTTCTTTTTTTCAAAATATGTTTGCATTTTTCCACATTTGTAATGCCCTGATAATTTGTCTGAATAGCCAAGCTATCAATCAGCATATCACTTGAAGTTTCCAAAGAAAATGTGGTGTTTAATTTTTTGAAAGATGGGTAATACCACATTTTCTAAAAGGAAACAATGTTAGAAAGTACAGGTTATCATCTAATATTTGCTTTCCTCAAGTTATTACAATTATCTTAGAAGCCTCAATATTGTATAAACCACTCATTCTTTTATTAAACAAGTATTAATGGAAGGTTACTATGTGCCAGATGCTTTCAACTCTAGTGCAGATGATAGACTTCTACAAATTAACACTACATTGATTAGCAGATATCTTTCCATTTAAAAAATCTAGTGTGAAATATGAAATACAATGGGAAGTTAATATGTAATCAAGAACCAGAAGCAGATAAGAGAAAAATGCTTCATTAAAAAATCAAAAACAACAATGGACTGAAATATCAACCTAGCACTGTAACATTCCTCAGAAACATCTCTGTGATTCTGCTGCAGTTGCCTAAAGACCAGCGAGACCAGTGAAACAAGAGATCACTATTTCTCTCTCTTTCCCATACCACCCCACCCAGAGGAAATGGAAAGAAACAAAAAGTGTGATACTATATGTAATTTCTAGATATAATTTTCATATTTTATGTTAATTATTAATATGTTAATTCAGTTGAGTTTAAATTATATAGGTATTATACAAAAATATCAACTTTATATGTACATATTCAATGGCACCTAGGGTGTGTGTGTGTTAGACTGAACTTTTTTTTATTATTTTTAATTTTTAATTTTTTAATTTATTTTTTAATTGATTATGCTGTTACAGTTGTTCTATTCCCCCTTTCATTCCCCTCCACCCTAGCCCCCCGTCCCCACCATTACCCCTCTTTAGTTTATGACCATGTGTCTCAAGTTCTTTAGATTCTATATTTCCCATACTATTAAAAATATTTTATTTACTTATTTTTAGAGAGAGGGGAAGGGAGGGAGAAAGAGGGAGAGAAGCATTGATGTGAGAGAGTCAGCATTCGATTGCCTCTTGCATGCTCCCAACTGGGGACCTGGCCCAAAACCCAGGCATATACCCTGTCTGGAAATTGAACAAGTGACCTATCAGTTCATGGGAAGGCAATCAATCCATTGAGCCACACCAGCCAGGGTGGGGATTGAACATTTTGTTTTGAGAGAGGGATGTCCAACCTTTTGGTGTCTCTGGGACACACTGGAATGAAAAGAATGGTCTTGGACCACACATTAAATACATTGTGACATGTATCCAAAAAATAAATCACATAATGTCTTAAGTAAATTTATGATTTTGTGTTGGACCTCATTCACAGCCATCTGGGGCCACATGCAGCCTGGGGGTTGCAGGCTGGACACCCCTGGATAACTTTTATACATAGCTTCTGAGTAAAAAATATACAGTAAACTATAACTGTTTAAAAGTACTATTAATAAAAATTTAAGATTCTTTTAAAAAATCCATTATCTTTGTAATCCCCCACACATTTTATCCTTTTCTTGAAAAACAAAGTGTCATATTCTCTTTTCCATGAACTCTACAATGTGAATGATAAAGCAAACTATTCTTCTGATATATTACCCAAGCTGTTTTCTGTTCTCTCTAGAGTAGTGATGTTAAAGGCTGAGGATAGCACTGGAGAAAGATTTTCCATAAAGGTAATAAAGCATTCAAGGACCTGGATTGGGCCTAGTAATTTTGTACTTGTGATTTCCTTGTTTTACATCTCTGAATTTGTATGATTCTATGACTGGCATCTGCATAATGCACGCCTTACTATACTCTACAAAATATAGGTTCTTTCAGCCTGCCTCCTATCACTCTACTCGTTCTCCTATGGTATATCTTTCCCCTCTTCCTACTATTGCTGCTCCCTTGGCCTTTCAGTGACTGTTGGTGTCTACACAAAAGCCTTTGTCAGCCAGGGCATGGGCTTGTGAACCAATCCTGGACAATGGGGCCAGAGTAAAAATCAGCTAAAAGTATCTGTGAAACATTTTCCCCAGTCATAAACAGAGATACACAGGAGGAAACACTGCCTCTTTGCTGGACATGGCCATTTCTGCAAATGACATCTGGAACTCCTATATCCATCTTGCAACTATAATGAAAGAAATTACCAATATGATGAGGATGGCTGAGTACAAAAATGAAAAACATCTGGTTCCTCCACAACACTGTTCAGCTGCATAACCAGTCTTGGAGTTGCCCTGACTCTGAACTTGGTGTCGTGTGAAATAAAAAATGTCCTTATTGTTTGAGCCACTTACAGCTGATATTCTGTAACTTACAGCCAAAACCATCCTAATGTAATTCTGTCTTCTCTTGTGCTCAGTGTATGTACATATCTTCCTCTCCCTTTAGTCACTGACTGTTCATTAAGTACTTACTATATGCTGGAAACTTGGCCAGATGTTAGGGAAGCAGAATAATAGACTAAAACATTGTTCTATTCTAGAAGACTCTGCCCAGGGTGAATATACAAACAGACCATTACAAGTATGGAGCAGAGCTAGGAGTCAAGTTTGTGAGGTGTCGGGAGAAACTGTATACAGGTTTGCCATTTCAGGCAATGCTTCCCACCTTACATCTTTCTCTCTTTTCCCCCATATAACAAAAGCAGTAGTAACCAAAACATACAAAATTCTCATAACATTTAAGAATAAACTTTCCACAGGAGGAATTTCACAGAGCTCATTTTTCAACTCTAATTTGGTTCAATTAATTATCATGCTTATGAAATTGAAGATTGATATAGATTCAGATGTTCAGAAAAGATTTGACAAAAAAAAAGCAATGAGTCAATAATTTATCTTTTATGCCTGAAAATATCTTAGTCTTATTTTAAATTCAAAGTGAATCTTCAAGAAGATTTATTCTTTAAAAATACACCTTCTATTGTGCATAACAGCTGACATAATTATATATTATTAATAACAAGCAAGACTAGTAGTAGTTATGCAAAAACAAATGCAGAGTAAAAAGCTGTATGTTACACCAAGATGTCTATGGAAATTATACTGGGTTGGTGTTACTATTAGTGATATATTTTTCTTCTCCATTTGCCAAATTGTCTTCTATGTGATTACATTTTTTTTAATTTTTTTATTTATTTATCTTTAGAGGGGAAGGGGGGAAGGAAAGAGAGAGAGGAACATCAATGTATGGTTGCCTTTCTTGCGTCCCCTGCTGGGAACTGGCCTGCAGGGAACCGGCCTGCAACCCAAGCATGTGCCCTGACTGGGAATCGAACCGCGATCGTGTGGTTCGCAGGCCCACGCTCAATCCACTGAGCTATACCAGCCAGGGCGTGATTACATATTTTTAAAAAATAAAAGAAATATGAACTTTTTCTGTCCACATGTATAGCTACTGCTAAGGCTAACTATATTAACATTACTATTATAAAAGACAAATAAACATGTTAGCTTATTTCTCAATATAGCAGAAAATGGTGGGAATGTATGTGTTCTTTAAAGAAAACATTAGGAAAGAGTATATAATTATTTTTAAAGAATTACTAACATACACTAAAAATACTATCCATTTACTTTTTCATACTTTCCCTCTTGCCTTAATCCATGTCTTTATTACATTTGTTAAAATATTACATTGTTAGATGTTAAAGTTTATTCATCATTTTTCATGTTTTTAGATTGTAAATTGTCAGAGAGAATAAGATATCTAATAGCACATTCCTAATTAAAAATAATTTTAAAAGCATACATTGTATACAATTGACTATCAAGTTCTCCAATTTGATGGTCAGCTATTTTCAGTAAAAAATAACTAGTGCTATTGGACCTCATGAATTGTTGAGTGAAGAAACTGAGGCAGCCTCCTCCATAGGACTGCGGTAGAGATGGTGGTGGGGTCATCTATTACAGTCCTGTCTTGGTTTTTCTATGGTTCTTTCTAATGACATTTATGAGGCTTATATGCATAAAACTCTGTAAATATTAATAATGTGAAATTTGGGGGGTAACAACTCTTTGCTT